GGTTGGGTGAGAGTGGGATGAATTATACAATTTAGTATGCGAGTATGTATGCGTGTGTGATGTGAGGGGCTGGAGGGAGCAATGTGTCTTGCTCCACCCAGGTGTCAGTGGTGTAATGTGTTTCTGCGGTGAGATGGTGGATAGATTTGGAGTCTTTCAGGCGGTTCTCTCAGACACGGCCAACCGAGTAGGTTCGACTCTCACAGGTCAGTTCAGGGAGCTCAGGCTCAAAGCCAACCACCAACAGCAATATCGCATTAAAAGGGGGCCTGTATGTACAAAAGGACAGCACTCAAAATGCATCAGCTGCACATCCACATCAGCACTCCTGACCCCACCAATAGAATTGTCCAATTAGCGGTGTCACCCAGCGGTGTTGAGTGTAACCTCAAGGGGTGGTTTCTGTGAAATCACCCTCAGGAGAGAGACCTTTTGCTCAACACTCTGTAATGCACCTTGGGCAAAACAAGATTGACATTCATGTGCTGGAGGGATATTCCGTTAAGCTGACCAAATTGGAGTGTCCAATTGCTGAGGACCACTTTGTATTATGACAAGGCTCGAAAGTGTGATGTGAGGGCTCAAAGCAAGAGACACCACTGAAGAAGTCCCACAGAGACGAGACGCTACCTGACAACCACGCCCTTGAGGCCGAGTGAATTACACCAAATTCTCCAACAAACACACACACTGGAAGAATAGGACTATGTGAAGAAATTTCAAATTACAGGAACAATAAAGTTGAGTGATTGTGTAGTATATTGTACAGGTTTATAGAGTCAATTTTCTTTTCAACTCTAAACTAGAAGTAATGGTCTCAGCTGAAAAAGGATGAGAAATCAACAAAACAGAGCAAAGGAAATAAAGGGAATCATTCAATCGTGAAAAAGGTAAGAGAGGGTTAAAATTACAAAAGCGTGTGGCTTTGTCTCACTTAACCACTCTTCAACAATGAAGTTCAGTACCTAGAATTTTTGAATTCAAAAGGAAACCAGCTCTGGACAGAGTTAGCATCACACATACACAAATGTTAGCATATCTGTAGCCTTTTGGCTTTGTTAGTGTGAGGTTTCTTACTTTATTAGCTCTAGCATTGTTAGCTTTAGCTTGAGTCTAAATGTTGGCTTTACTTGAGTGTAGCTGAGCGTTACCATTAGCTTGAGTGTAGCTAAATGCTGTTTTTAGAAAGAATGTGGCTAAGCGTTGACTTTAGCTTGAGTGAAGCTAAGTGTTGCCGTTATAACGCTAGGTTAGCTACGTGTCAGTGTTAGCTATGGTTGCTACATGTTAGGGTTAGCTTGGTTATCCCAAGGACTACAAAGATGGCGTCAGCTTGGGTAGCCCTAAGGACTACAAAAAAATGGCATGAGTGACATCACCGAATGTTTCAGTCTTGTGACGTCGCCCTTAGCACGGGAACGAGCACACAGAGTGGACGCGCTGTGTTTCTCATTCACACAAAGCACTTAGTGAAAACATGCACTCAGACAGTTTTTTTTTTTTTTATTATGCAGTGCGGCAGCTGTTATTTTGATGAGACGGTGCTCACACCAGACAAAAATGCACAGCAGTCAGACAACGGCGTTATCTCAACTTACTTTATGCAGACAGTTGTCTCTGGATCGCGGC